CTGCCTTTCAGGTAAAATAAACACAAACTTACATTTCATATTTATTTTTGAATTATTGCTATTTTTATACATATATATATATATATATCTTAATATGTATTTGCAGACACCTCCAAGGCCATTTTTCATATTGAATTCTCAACTTTTTATTTATTCATTCATGTATTTTTTTATACTATTACATTTTGTACTTTGGGAATTTTGGGAATTCTTTTTTTTTTAATATATATATTTTTAAAATGTTATTCTTTTTTAAAAAATGAATTAATAATCCGTCCTTTTTTCAGTTGTATTGCTATTTATAGAATTTTAAAATAACAAATGCATTTCTATTTTGCAGGTGGCGATAATTGCCGGGAACTTCGATCTAGCTGAAATTATAAAAATCCATAAAACCTCCGACGTTGGTGAGTTTGCTGAGAAAATAAAAACGTTTAAATAACTACACTACAGGAGCTGGTAAATGTAACTCTGTGTGTGTGTGTGTGTGTGTGTGTGTGTGTGTGTGTGTGTGTGTGTGTGTGTGTGTGTGTGTGTGTGTGTGTGTGTGTCCAAGCAGTTCCCTTCAGAGAAACTCCCTCCTACACAAAGCGCCGTCGGCCGGGTGTCAGCCGCTCGTCAGCCGGAAACGGCCTCTCGTCTCCTCGCTCTCTGATTCGCTCGGCCAGCGAAAACGTCCTAGAAAGTCCCGCCTCCTCGCCAGGCCCCTCCTTGCAGAGCCTGGAAACACACCACGACACACACACACACTCGCTGCGACGACACTCACGCCGACTCAGGTACACACACACACACACACACACACACACACACACACGCAGTCGGACACGGGTGTGTTTTTTGTTCTTTTTACAAATGTTCCATAATTTATCAACAAATTGAACTAAAAGAAACAGCACAAATAATTGTTTTTTATTTAATAAAATGTTTGCGTCCCTGTCTCTCCCTTCAGTCCGAGCGCCGGGGGCCATGTGGGGGAGAGCAGCCCCCCCTCCTCCCCCCCGCAGATGAGGAAGAGGAGGCTCTACAGTGCCGTCCCCGGACGCACCTTCATCGCCACGAGGAGTCACGTCCCCCAGGGGCCCGGAGAGATCCAGCTGCACCGCGGGGAGAGGGTCAAAGGTCAGACTCACTCTAGAGCCTATAGGATTCAGGCCACTGTGTATATAAATCAAAGGTCACCTATCATGCTATTTGTAGGCAATATCATAGGTGTCAGATATATAAAAAATTATAAAAAACATGTCTATGAAGTGTTTTGCTCAAAGTACCAAACAGATCATTCTAGCCATTACAAATCAATATATGATTGGTTGATCAAACCGTCAGTCCAAACGTACGCTCTCATGTGTGGCGCAGTGCGCTGTGCAATGATCATCAGATCAAGGGGTGAAACCCGCCGCTGCTGAGTCTGTAAAGCCGTTGTGTCCTTGGGCAAGACACTTCACCTGAACTTGCTCCTGTGGGTATTGTCCACAGTGACCATTGCATGATATGTGTAATGTGTATTTGTAAAGCGCTTTGAGCATCTGGAAAAGCGCTATAATAAATGTAAGGAATTATTATTATTATTATTATTCAGTGCAACGGCCAGGGCCTTCGATCAAGGATGTGGAATACCTTGGTGAAGGAGATTCTACCCAGAGACCCAGAACAAGATCTGATTGGTTGCTTTCTTTTCTAACACAACACCACTGAAACGCGTAGAGCATGGTCCGAGAAGGACAAACAAATCAACGTAACACTGTGATATTACAGATCAACAACACAGATACCATTCTCATTTATTCATTTCATATACATTTTATTTATATAATTAAATCCATCTGTTGTTTGTTTTATCTGAGTGTTCCAGGGTGTTCTCTGAATACCTTGAAGGCCCTGACGGTTCGCCTCTGCTTTTTAGCGATCAATATTCAGGGGAAATTGGAAAGCATTGTAACTTTCAGAGTGATGCATTTGCCAGGAGAAATTCACAAATGAAGGATGCGATTAAAAGTGTATATCCTATCACAGTAGATTCCATTCAGGCAACTGTGTAGAAAAGTCGAATAAATGATGGACTTCTTTCCCAATTTATTTTTGTTATTATTTGTCTTTTATTTTACTTCTTATATATATTTGTTTTAAGTGTTCAATATTCAGGGGAAATTATAAAGAAAGGAAAATATTCATGATTTTTCTCATAAATATTCAATTTTGAGTAAAAACTCTAGTTCTCCTGATTTTTCTCTCAAATGGATGATTTGTGTAACCCTAACCCTAACCCTAAAAATGCATAAAAACACAATTAAAACAACACACTTCAAATATATAAAACACACCCTTTTAATCCCAGACAATATCCCAAATTCTTCTCAGAAATTCTATTATTTAAATCCTGCCTGTGTGTGTGTGTGTGTGTGTGTGTGTGTGTGTGTGTGTGTGTGTGTGTGTGTGTGTGTGTGTGTGTGTGTGTGTGTGTGTGTGTGTGTGTGTGTGTGTGTGTGTGTGTGTGTGTGTGTGTGTGTGTAGTCCTGTCTATCGGAGAGGGAGGATTCTGGGAAGGGAGTGTTAAAGGACGGACCGGCTGGTTTCCTGCTGACTGTGTGGAGGAAGTCCAGATGAGGCAATATGACTCGCGACTGGGTAAACAATATCTAATAAACAATCAAAATATATGTTTATTAGTTACGCTTTATATTATATTATATTTATATCCTGTAATGTATGATATATGTTTCAGAGACGAGGGAGGATCGCACCAAGAGGCTTTTCAGACATTACACTGTGGGATCCTATGATAACTACACCTCCTACAGGTAATACACCGTCACTACACCTCCTACAGGTATTAATACACCTCCTAAAGGTAATAGACCATCACTACACCTCCTACAGGTATTAATACACCTCCTACAGGTAATACACCGTCACTACACCTCCTACAGGTATTAATACACCTCCTACAGGTAATAGACCGTCACTACACCTCCTACAGGTATTAATACACCTCCTACAGGTAATACACCGTCACTACACCTCCTACAGGTATTAATACACCTCCTAAAGGTAATAGACCGTCACTACACCTCCTACAGGTATTAATACACCTCCTACAGGTAATAGAGTGTCACTACACCTCCTACAGGTAATACACCGTCACTACACCTCCTACAGGTATTAATACACCTCCTAAAGGTAATAGACCGTCACTACACCTCCTACAGGTATTAATACACCTCCTACAGGTAATAGAGTGTCACTACACCTCCTACAGGTATTACACCGTCACTACACCTCCTACAGGTATTAATACACCTCCTAAAGGTAATAGACCGTCACTACACCTCCTACAGGTATTACACCGTCACTACACCTCCTACAGGTATTAATACACCTCCTACAGGTAATACACCATCACTACACATCCTACAGGTATTAATACACCTCCTACAGGTAATACACCGTCACTACACCTCCTACAGGTATTAATACACCTCCTACAGGTAATAGACCGTCACTACACCTCCTACAGGTATTAATACACCTCCTAAAGGTAATAGACCGTCACTACACCTCCTACAGGTATTACACCGTCACTACACCTCCTACAGGTATTAATACACCTCCTAAAGGTAATAGACCGTCACTACACCTCCTACAGGTATTACACCGTCACTACACCTCCTACAGGTATTAATACACCTCCTACAGGTAATACACCGTCACTACACCTCCTACAGGTATTACACCGTCACTACACCTCCTACAGGTATTAATACACCTCCTACAGGTAATAGACTGTCACTACACCTCCTACAGGTATTACACCGTCACTACACCTCCTACAGGTATTAATACACCTCCTACAGGTAATACACCGTCACTACACCTCCTACAGGTATTACACCGTCACTACACCTCCTACAGGTATTAATACACCTCCTACAGGTAATACACCTTCACTACACCTCCTACAGGTATTAATACACCTCCTACAGGTAATACACCGTCACTACACCTCCTACAGGTATTAATACACCTCCTACAGGTAATACACCGTCACTACACCTCCTACAGGTAATACACCGTCACTACACCTCCTACAGGTATTAATACACCTCCTGCAGGTAATAGAGTGTCATTACACCTCCTACAGGTATTAATACACCTCCTACAGGTAATACACCATCATTACACCTCCTACAGGTATTAATACACCTCCTACAGGTAATAGAGTGTCACTACACCTCCTACAGGTAATACACCATCATTACACCTCCTATAGGTATTAATACACCTCCTACAGGTAATACACCATCACTACACCTCCTACAGGTATTAATACACCTCCTACAGGTAATACACCATCATTACACCTCCTACAGGTATTAATACACCTCCTACAGGTAATAGAGTGTCACTACACCTCCTACAGGTAATACACCATCATTACACCTCCTACAGGTATTAATACACCTCCTACAGGTAATACACCATCACTACACCTCCTAGTGCATTTATTCAATTAAATGTCACAAAAAACTGCAAAACACATGCTTAGAATATCTGCAGAGAAGCTGTGTAAAATGTCACGATTAGTAATTATATAATATGTAATTATTATTTGTACACATTTCTCGATTTATATTAGGATTTTTGCCACGTATGCACTTCCTTGAACTGATCAAACTGCCCCAACAAATATTATATATATTTATATATATATATAAATATATATATATATATATTGTGATACATTTTCTAATTTAAACCCCAGAAATCCTACATTTACATAAATAATATATATATTATTTCTTTATTAACGTTTGCATATTTTTAAATTATATTAATAATGTTTTTGATTTATATAAGTTGATTTTATGGTGACTCTGAGACATGTATCCAGGGCAGTTAAATTACAGCAATGATGATTAACATGTGCTCTTCCTGTTAGCTACTAATAATTGAAGAAAGAAAACAAAATATTTAGTTTTAAATCTTGTGTTTTTTAGTGACTACGTGATCGAGGAGAAGACGGCGGTGTTGCAGAAGAGAGAGATCGAGGGATTCGGATTCGTCCTCCGAGGAGCGAAAGGTGGGAAGGAAAGGAGGGGGACGAAGGAAAGGAGGGGGAGGAAGAAGATAAGAGATGAAGGAGGGAGAGAGAGGGGGTGTTTAAATCTTCAGAGCCCTAAAACCCCTCGTTGTGTCATTTCTTAATAAACTACATATCCACATTTTTATTCAATTTAATTTCTAATATAAACATGTTTTCTGCCTCTTTTTTGAAGCGGAGACGCCCATCGAGGAGTTTGCTCCGACCCCGGCGTTCCCGGCGCTCCAGTACCTGGAGTCGGTGGATCAGGGGGGCGTCGCCTGGAGGGCGGGGCTTAGAACCGGAGACTTCCTCATAGAGGTAACAAGAATCATTAGATCTCTCAAACAGATATGGTGTGTTTTAGTGGCGTTGTAGCCTACATTTAAATGAATGATGAGGCAGGGCGATGGGTCAAATTGCGTGAAAAAAGTTCTTAAAAAACATGGATATTAAAGTTAAAGTACATTTAAGAGGAATACATTAGAATAGGTTATTAAACAAAGCAGTAAAAGCATTAACATTCTTTGAGATTAAAGTTTTAAATCTGAAGTTATGTTAAAAACTTCACAAAATTACCATGAAAGATGTGAAATATTGGTGAACTACTCTCTGGGTTTTAAATAGTATTTTACATTTACCTTGTGACCTGAAATGTTCTTAAAAACCTGGAAAAGTCATGGAAATGCTAATTCCAGAACCTGGAAAAGTCATGGAAATGCTAATTCCAGGCCCTAGAAAAGTTATGGAAAACAATATTTTTCCAAAAGTTTTGGAAAAGTCATGGAAATGTAACTAAAGTTGCATCAAATATAATTTATATTTGATCTAATCGCCGAAATAGTAATACTATAATGATAATAACTACTGTATCGTATAGTAATGAAACATAAAATGGCATTTAACTGACGAGGTATTTTGCTGGTGAGAGATTTGAGTTGCGTTAGCGTGAAGCTAGTAAGCCTACTTGATTTGTTAGATAGGCACAACATGTTTCATGTGCAGACCTTATTTTCCTGTTCCATGTTAAAATAAACCATTTTCAGTGGAACCTGAGAAAGAGTCAGTGTTTTGGTCATGGAAAATTAGGTAAAGGTCCTGGAGAAGTCATGGAAAATTAGGTAAAGGTCCTGGAGAAGTCATGGAAAAGTCATTGGTGAAAAAGTGTATGAACCCTGTTCACAAAATTACCATGAAATATTGGTGAACTACTCTCTGGGTTTTAAATAGTATTTTACATTTACCTTGTGTCCTGAAATGTACTGTCTTAATCTATGTTAATTGACTCTGTCTGCTTCAGGTTAACAGCGCTGACGTGGTGAAGGTGGGTCACCGTCAGGTCGTCTCTCTGATCCGACAGGGAGGAAGTCGTCTGCTGATGAAGGTCGTCTCTGTTTCCAGGAAGTCAGAATCATCCAACATCGTCAGGAAGAAAGGTACAGGTTTTATTTAAAGAGCCCCTATTCTGTACACAGTGTACGGGGGCGGGACATCTCTAAGCGGTTGTCCAACCACCACAGAGCCGGCCAGCTAACCAATCAGAGCAGACTGGGCTCTGGTTTCAGACAGAGGGTGAAAATAGGTGCTGCAGCACAGGCAGTATGAGAAAAATAAAGAGCTTTTTGAACATTAAAGCATGGAGACATGAAGAGACACTACATACTGATATACACCTGAACATCAGCAGGAGAGGACTCTTTAAAGTAGAGACACTACATACTGATATACACCTGAACATCAGCAGGAGAGGACTCTTTAAAGTAGAGACACTACATACTGATATACACCTGAACATCAGCAGGAGAGGACTCTTTAAAGTAGAGACACTACATACTGATATACACCTGAACATCAGCAGGAGAGGACTCTTTAAAGTAGAGACACTACATACTGATATACACCTGAACATCAGCAGGAGAGGACTCTTTAAAGTAGAGACACTACATACTGATATACACCTGAACATCAGCAGGAGAGGACTCTTTAAAGTAGAGACACTACATACTGATATACACCTGAACATCAGCAGGAGAGGACTCTTTAAAGTAGAGACACTACATACTGATATACAGCTGAACATCAGCAGGAGAGGACTCTTTAAAGTAGAGACACTACATACTGATATACACCTGAACATCAGCAGGAGAGGACTCTTTAAAGTAGAGACACTACATACTGATACACACCTGAACATCAGCAGGAGAGGACTCTTTAAAGTAGAGACACTACATACTGATATACACCTGAACATCAGCAGGAGAGGACTCTTTAAAGTAGAGACACTACATACTGATATACACCTGAACATCAGCAGGAGAGGACTCTTTAAGTAGAGACACTACATACTGATATACAGCTGAACATCAGCAGGAGAGGACTCTTTAAAGTAGAGACACTACATACTGATATACACCTGAACATCAGCAGGAGAGGACTCTTTAAAGTAGAGACACTACATACTGATACACACCTGAACATCAGCAGGAGAGGACTCTTTAAATAGCTGAGGGCATCTATAATACATATATTTTAACCTTAACATCCCTTAATCTTAATCAAGTTGTCCTACAATTGGAAGTGTTTTCTGTTTAATAACTAACTGTGGTTTTGTCTTGTAGCTCCGCCCCCTCCAAAACGAGCCCCAAGCACCTCACTGACTCTGAGATCCAAGTCCATGACCGCTGACCTGGAGGACATAGGTAAAACACACACACACACACACACACACACACACACACACACACACACACACACACACACACACACACACACACACACACACACACACACACACACACACACACACACACACACACACACACACACACACACACACACACACACACACACACACACACACACACACACACACACAGTGCAGAGTTTAGTCAAACCTAAAGACCTCTGTTCTGTCTGCAGCCAGGAGGAGACGCTTCGGTGAGTCACATGTGATCGGATGTTGTTGTTGTTGTTGTTGTTTTCGTGACGTGACAATGTCATGGTGTCTCAGTGTTGTAAAAACCAGGGCCGTAGTATAAAGGGAAGTAAGGCTGTTACAAGTAAAAGTCATGAATTGTAAAGTCAGTATATTAAAAAGTTACGAACCTAAGATGTCCTAACTAACAGGTAAAGTTCAAATTGTAGGTAAAAAGGTTTACGACAATATCCATTCAATGTAGTAGAAACAAAAATAAAGAAATAAACACAGTGAGGATAACCCACTAATCGCACCAGGAGCGTCTGCGCTGCGGCTGCGCCGCGCTGCGACCTCCTCCTGCGTCCTAACCCACCAGGCGCGTTTCAAAACGTTGCGGAAGCGGAGCATCTTGTGTGCAGCCTCGCAGTTGTTGGATGAACATTCCACTTCCTGCCTGCGCTGCGCCGCGCTGCGCCGCGTCAAAAATAGGATTCATCCTATATTTTAGAAATTCCTTGCGGCGTGGAGCTTCTGGGACGCTTCGAGCCGCGGCGCAGCGTGTCTGGTGGAATAGCACCCATTGACTAGAGTGGCCGTGATCGCTAAAAACGCCGCAGCCGCAGCGCAGACGCTCCTGGTGGGATTAGGGGGTTAGAGTAAAAAAACAAAACAAAGTAAAGGTAAAAGCATTTAAATAAATGTTTTATTTACCAGATTTAAACTACGTATTTCTCCGGCTCTGGTGTTGTTGTGGTCGTCAAGTCGTGAATCTGTGTTACTTTATTTTTGTTTTTTTTGTTTATCTTATTTTTTGTCCCGCCTGCAGACAAACTGGATGAGATGTTGGCCGGAGGTCAACAGGAAGTGGTTCTTAGGGCCCGACCAGCAGATGACTTTAGAGTGGCGACGGTGAAACAGAGACCGACCAGCCGGCGAATCACACAGGCCGAGATTAACGTAAGACTGCCAGAAATATAAAATACATCTTTTACAACATTTTTGCAGAGTACCTCAGGGCCATAACCTAGGTCCTCTTCTATTTGGAGAAGTGCCTCAAGCCCAAGTTACTGTTGTCTTTAATCAAGTTGCATTTTCAAAAGTCTCTATTTCAGGAGTTATGGGTTTTAAAATGGGAAATATGTTGGTGTATTCTAAGATTCAAAGTTTTATAGTCATATGCACAAAGCTACAGTGTAGAAATGACAATGAAATTCTTCTGACCTGAGCTCCTCCACAATCCAACATATATAATAAAATACAAAAAGTCTACATACATGTAAATATAATATGATATGTATGTAGCATAAATATTGTGTTTTTTGTGTTTGTTTCTTTAGTCGTTGTTTGAGCGTCAGGGTCTTGTTCCCCCCTCGGCTCCAGAGAAAAGCACCATGGCTTTACCTCGAGGGATGTCCAGAACCAAGAGCTTTGGTAAGAAAACAAACACAATATTTACATTTGTTACTTAAGGAAAAAGTACCTTCCGTAGATCCTTGTGTATCTAGTACCTTTATTTTAACGTCTTGATTTTTCCGTCAGGCACACCTGACGACGACCGGATCTCGGCTCTGATCAATGAAAGTCGTTTTCCTCGGAGCTCCTCGCTGACGGACGGCTTCATCCCTCCCCCTCCTCAGATGGCTCCGCCTCCTCCACCCTCCGCCTCCTCCTCCACCTCCTCGCTCTTCCTCCTGGACTCCGGCCCCCCCCCCATCGTTCCTCCCCCCTTCTCCCCCGGCTAGAGGGGAGGGGCTAACGCGCTCCAGCTTCAAGCCAGGGGCGGAGCCTAGGCTGGTGGAGCTCTGTGATTCGCCGACGAGGAGCCACGCCCACGCTGAGCGCCAGAGGAAGGCTAGGTCGATGATCATCCTTCAGGACACGCCTCCGCCACCGCCACTTCAGCCGGACGCACACTCTGGCAGCACACACGCTCTGCACACTGCCACACACACCGCCACACACACACTTCACACGGCAACACACACATCTACGCTGTCGCTGCACAGCACAAGCCCCGCCCTCGGTCACTCGCCGCTGTCACGCCGCCGCGGAAGAGCAATAGAAAATCCGTACGCTAACGTTGGACAGCAGGCGCCGCCGTCCAAGCCGCAGAGGAGGAAGTCACCTTTGTTGAAACAACTTCCTGTAGAGGAGCAAGGTCAGGATCGTTTACACATGTTTTCTGTTTTGCTGTGTACAATTTCCTGATGCATGATGGGACGACAATGCTCTGATGAAAATTGTAGCACACAGTTAAATATGTCGAGTTGAAAATGGTGGATCAAAACAAACCAGCCAATCAAATGTATTCTTGTTTGCTCAAATTTACATGAAAGTTGTTTCTATTCATGTGCATGCAAAACACATTTGAGTCTGCTGAAAATGTCCTGATTGGGATTTACACAAATATAAAGCATTAAACTTCTAATCTTCAATCCAATCGGTGTAACTATTTGCTATTTTTCTTCTTCTAGGAATAAAAGACCAGGACCTATTGAAACCGGACGGACCCAGCAGCCCCAGTCGGGCGGAGATGTACCAGCAGCAGGTTCTCTCAGAGCGAGCCCGGGTTCAGGGTCGGAGGTCGTCTCTCTTCCTGTCTGTCGAAGGATCTGGGTCAGAGAATCAGGTGACACTCCTAACTCTGAGCCATTCGATGGACGATCTTGGCGAGCTTCCTCCTCCAGCTCCGGTCCTTTCACCATCACCGACGCCTCACACCTTCCTCCACCCACTGACCGGGAAACCACTAGGTCAGTCTTGCCTTACCATAAACTTAACCATAAGTGATAACCGAATGATAAATAGGTGCCAGGGTACCAGGGAAGTCAACTGGCCTCGAGGTACTGCATTCGGTAAAAGAGGACCAAGAAGAAAGTCTTGGGACAGATCCTTAAGGTACCTCAAGAATGTAAAAAGTACTAAGCACATACCCTTGAGGTACTTCACAAAACAATACAGGATCTAGGACAGAGCCTTGAGGTATTCAGCAATATGATGAATGCATGAGTACCTCCATTAAAGATAAAAGGAACTACAACAGGACCTTCGACAGTGACTTGAGGTACAAAACAAAATTGAAAAACAAAATTGAAAGGGTAGCAAGGAAAGAGCCTTAAGATACTACGCAAAACTTGAAAGAAACTAGTTAAGAGCCCTGAGGTACTCCAAAGAACAGAACCTAGGACAGAGCCTTGATGTGATGAATGCATGAGTACCTCTATTAAAGAGATAAGGAACTAGTACAGGACCTATGACAGTGACTTGAGGTACAACACGAAAAAGAAAAACCCATATGACAGGATCTCTAGGCACTTCCAAAAAAGAGAGGAGGACCTAGAGCGGAGCAACAACATTGAAAGGGTAGCAAGGAAAGAGGCTTACGATACTACGCAAAACTTGAAAGGAACTAGAGAAGAGCCCTGAGGTACTCTAAAGAACAGAACCTAGAACAGAGCCTTAAGGTATATATAATAACGCATTAAAACCGATCCATACTAAATCATTTCTTGTCTCTTCAGACCCCTCGTCTCCACTCGCCCTGGCCCTTGCTGCACGAGAACGAGCGCTCACCGCCCGAACCCCGAGTCCAGAGCCTCGACATAAACACGGATCTGCCTCACCTATCCCCACCCCTGCTGCCAGTCCAGACGGACGACACAAGCGCACCCCTATCCCCACCCCGCAGGGAAGCCCAGAGCCTCGATCCAAGCGCATCCCCCCTCAGACGAGCCCAGAGCAGCGAACGAAGCGTACCACCCCTCAAACCAGTCCGGAACTGAGGCACAAACGCATAACGCCGCCTTTGTTCCCCGACGGACCGGTGGAGCGTCCGGAAACCGAGGGAGGAGTTACATCGCCTGCCGCTCCATCGCCCGAGCGTTGGAGACCGACCCCTTTGCCACCGCTGGCCAATGAGAGTCACGCCGCTCTGATTGACAGGCGCAGGAGCCTAACAGTGGGCAGCTCCGAGGAGGAGGGTGGGGCTTATACGGTAACACTCCCGCCGGCGTTATTGTCGTCAAGCGATGAGGAAACCAGGGAGGAGCTTCGCAGAATTGGCCTGGTTACTCCCCCCGCTGCCTTCGCCAGCCCTCCCCCTCTTCCTCCCCCATCCTCCCTCACCCTGTTGACTCGACGAGGCGGGGAGGGAGGAGATCCTGACTCTCTAGGTAGACGAGGTGATGAGGATGAAAGTGACGAACGCCTACATGACAGCTCTTCCCCCAGCTCCCTCCCTCCCTCCATCACCTTGGCCTCCCCTCCTGATCCATCCTCCCCCTCCTCCCCTACAGCTACTCACCCATCCCCTTCCTCCCCCACCACCTCCCCATCTGTTTTGAAACCACGCCTTCGTTCACCGTTAGGTCGCGGTCGCTCCACGCTCCGTGATCCTCTTCTGAAGCAATCATCGGACAGTGAGCTCCTCCCGTCAGCTGCCTTTTCCTCCTCCCCTTCCTCCCCTCTCTGTTCCTCACCCACTGGTGGAGGTGGACGTCAGCCTCGTTATCTTTTCCAGAGAAGGTCGAAGCTTTGGGGCGGCGGGGATGACGATCGTCGGGGATTCAGCCCAGATGAAGGTGGCCGTCCAGCGGCATTCGGGGGTCAAGTTGCCGGGTCAGCTGTGGATCTGAGCAACCGGTCGTCTTCGGCTCTGGAGCTGAGCGGCCGGGCCGGGTCCGGACTGGATCTGGTGAATCGGCTACAGCTGCTCAATAAAGACAGTCATTCTCTGGGGGAGGAGCCGAGTCCCTTGGATCCGGGCCGGAGGTCGCCAGTAGGAGGTGCCAGGTACTACAAACTGCCTTTAAAGGTCTCCTATTATGCAAAATGCATTTTTCTATACATAAAGATGTGTCCCCGGTGTCAGAGGACTCACAAAGTGTCAGAAAATAAAACCCTCTCTCTTTTCCTCCGTACCCAAATCTCTAAAAACGGGGGAACAACGGAGCTGATCCAGATTTGCTGCCGATATGACGTAATATCGGAAATGCGGACCCTTTGAGAATCTTTCTAGCTGAGCAGGCATTAGCTCCGTCCCTCTTTTTTCTTTTTTTAAAGCTTTATACCCAGAATCAGCACTTTAGTAACAGAGCTGAAATAGTGAGGCTAGAATGGGTGATCTGTTGGGTATTCTGAGCAAAACACTTCATAGACATGTTTTTTATATATTTGTATATATCTGAGACCTATATTATATGCCTAAAAAGTATAATAGGAGACCTTTAACTATACATACTGCATTACTACGGACCAGTTCAGGTGCGTTCACATCGGATGCATCGCTTTACTCTGTGGTGGCTTTGTGTCCGGTGTGAACGCACCATTAGCAGATACTGTGTTTGCATGTTGTAACAGAATATGTTGTTTATGTTCTTCCAGATGTGTGGACAATGGAGAGAGTAAATCGTAGGTTTTTAACCTCTGGTAAACATTTCCCATTATCGCTAATAGATTCGCTAACAGCTAACTAACATGCACCTTCTTCACAGCCTAACGCCTGAAATGACGGTCCCATTTGGATTTTGAATAACACCTTGAAACTGACAACCTTTTTAACACTAAAACAATGATTGCCCAATTTTAGCCTAGCAAGCCAACAGCATGGTGCCGCCGTTAAAGTCATTTTCTTTCCAATAGCAAATATACAAGCGAAAGGGCAAAGAATAGATATAACCTGTGTTCAAGTCCTCTAATGTAAACTGCAAACATTAGCATGTCTGGCTAACTAGTTTACAGGCAAATGTTCAATAAGTGTGCATGCCACTTTACTACATACTGTTTTTATTTTGTCTCTATCATTAGTGTCTCTTTGCTGTGCTGTAACGATGTCGGACTAATCAAGGAATTCTATATAAATTCTGATTTATACATTGTTCAATGTGTTTCAGGTTGTTCTCCAGTCTCGGTGAGCTCCACACTATTTCCCAGCGAGGATTCGGCTCGGGCTATACAGTCCGACCGGGAAGTCGATACCCCGTGATGCGCCGAAGCCCCTCCCCCTCTCCCTCCCCCTCCGATAGGTCGATAGGAATCACCTCCTCCTCCGCCCCCGGCTCAGAAAGACCCGATTTAAGCTCCGGTCGCGGTCTAACCATCCTGAAGTCGTCCAGTCTCAGCCTCCCCTCCGAACCAAAGGAAGTTCGGTTCGTGATGCGGAGCGCCAGTGCGAGAACACGCTCCAGATCTCCCTCTCCATCCCCCCACGCCTCCCCATGCCCCTCCCCCGTCCTCAGCGGGCCTCTCTTAGCCCTGAGGCCATGGAGACAGCGTCCACTCAACCTGTGGAATAAATACGACGTCGGCGATTGGCTGGAAAGCGTCGGACTCGCTGAACATCGCCAACGCTTCCAGGAGCACGAAATCGAGGGTTCCCATCTCCCGGCGTTAACGAAGGAGGATTACGTGGAGCTGGGCGTCACCAGACTGGGTCACCGGATCAACATCGAGAGGGCTCTCCGAACGCTGCTGGACGGATCCACTTGACCCCTGACCTGCCAACCCTTAGACACCCTGAACTGTGACCTCATTACAGACATTAAACACTAAACGAACGCCATCTCTTTGACTAGAAACATCTTAACAGTGATTGAATCTTTAGACCTTTTTACCAACGTGGAGTTTGTATCTCCGAGTGATCTTGCTGACTCTTTGGCTGATCAGCTCTTTGATCAATACACACAGAGTGGTAGCACCAAGGTCAGTGTCCAGTGTCTAGCTTTAGTGGTACTTATTGAAGTAATTCATTCACCCAGAAACCATGTGTTTATCAATTACTCATCTCAATTACCTTGAATTCTTGAAAAAGGTAGTTTTTGTCGGAAGCCTCCATGGTGAACGATGAATTTAAAATTAGAGACAAGTCTTGTTTAATTGAAGGCTCTTTAACAAGTGGTGCAATAAAAGTCTTGTTTATCAACCCTACTTTCTAAACATAGGACTTTTCTTTAAAAACATACTATTGAAAACCCTTTGGAAAAGTTGCACGCCTGCAAAAGTGTGTTGCGATTATGAAAGTTGTACCGAAAAATATGAAAGTCAGATGATGATCACTGTCCAAGTTACAACTGCATCGATAAGTCGATCGAGGGAAAAAATATTGCCTCTAACTATTTCAGCGGCCAGTATTTAGCTTTAGTTATTTATTGAAGTACTTAACCAAGAAAATTACCGTTCTTTAATCTTTCACCTCAATGAATTTGAATTCTTAAAGAAAACTATGTTTTTCTGGTATGGTGAATAGTAATTCCAAAATCAAAGAAAAGTCTTGATGAATGTAAGTGAGTAGGGGCCAAACATATCGGTTTAACAACCTCTCACCAACTTGCACACAATTCGTGCAATATAACAGATGTCTGATTTATCCAGGTGCTTGCTCACTATTTCCAAATAAAAGGGCTTTTATCTAAAAACACTTTGGACTTTCAGAAAAGTTAATTTATTTGGTTTTGGCCTGAAAAAGACTTGGACTTTGAGTCTTGATAACTGGAAAAGTTCTGAAGCCAGCTCACAACATCCACATCCGTGTTCTGTAGCATACCGTTAGCATACATAACGTTAGCATACTAAGCTAATCACTGGACACAGACCTCTATTGTTGTTATCTAGAGGTGAAAGACATGGATCAAAGAGCTGATCCGACAAACTGTAAACAAATATAATGACGGGTTATTTTCCTCGTGCCATTCTGCTTCCCCGGGCGACTTTATCTGGACGATTAGCGAGTCTCTACATCAAAAACCACGGGAGATATGTTGAGGATATATCCTTTCTCGTGACTTATTTTCTTCTGTTTTTTAAATATCACCCATGACGAATTTGTGTTTATTTAGTTTTTCATATCTTAACGCTGATCATTTAGAATTTATGAATAACAAGTAATAATAATGTGGTGGTGATGACTTTACAGAGTTTATAATAGTTTGGAAAAATGAATTTTTGAGTTTCTTATGATTTGACAATGAGTTGAATTTCTGAGGTCGTTGAATTTGAATTTTCGGCGGCGTTCTGAAACTCATGATGATTTGTCAATGAGTGTGACTTTGTGCTGATGATGTGCTGTGTGTTTCAGGGAGAGCTGCAGCAGAGCTCCAACTGGTTTCTAACCTGCTTTACCGAGGGCTTACTGTACATGGTGCTATCTGTTTAAAGCCATCTGTACAGAACAATACCTTCCTCCTTCCCCTCCTATCCCTTCCTTACACTCACACACCAAACTCTTAACGCTATTAATCCTAAATGAATCAATCAAGTGCGGCTAAATCACCAGGAACAGGCCATACATGGAGTTTCCTCCCTGCCATATTGGGGATTTTGTCCCTGCCATACGTGGAGTTTCCTCCAGACCATATAAGGAGTTTATAATAGACGTCTTAAATGGAGTTGCCCAATTTTAATATGCGCCTGATATTATCCAACAAACTGGTCTCCTACAAAAAAAACTGCATTCTCAATTACGTTAATTCGCTTTATGGGAATTTGTAGCCAATTAGTTTGGGTCAAAAAGACCTCATCATGATAATATCACCCTATTACAGTTTTTAACCAAATATTGCTTGGATTTAACCATTTTTTTGTTGGCGGGTAACCAATTAGTCAACAAGCTAATACTACATCATCACTAAATAGTTTTGCCTTGCAATCTTGAAATGTGATTTTCCGTTTTTACCCATTTTGCACACAATCCAGTGTTGTATTACCCAGATATTGGTATGTAAAGTACTTCCCAAAAATTCATCAAATGAATCGGATATATCGCCCAGCCTTATAAAAAAAAGCATTTCATTAGAAATGAATTAAAAAGCTAATGCTAGCCTTTTAGCATTGTTAGCTGACACCTTTTATACTTAAAATAAAGTTAATTTAACACCATTTCTCTAAATTTTAAATGTAGTTTCTACATCTGTACCATAAAGAATATAAATTACAAGTGAATTAAATATCTGAAGTCACTAAAAGGTGTATTTCTTTAACTTTTTCTACTTTAATTAGGAATCTGAGTTAATTATGACTTTAACGGAGACACCTACGATACAACAACTCCATTATTCCAAATATCTTCACACAGTAATTTAACGACACAATCTCACTGACATGTTCCTCTTGAATCCCCCCTTTCTAAAGCACAATCAACTTGCCAGTGCCTGTTTCCACAAAACAACGAATATAACCGCGTTTATATATCGCTTTTTACTCCCAGCCGAAGTACCTGAACTCGAGCCGAACCACAATCATGAATCCCAAAGTTGTAAAAGTTCACGGTGCCATTTTCCTGAGAGAGTTATAGATTGTATAGTCTTTGTACAGCACAATACAGTAGACTTTATAGTCTGTATAATATATATTATCCTCGAATAATGTAGCTATAGTGTAATATATAAAGTATAGTAAGATGATGAAATGTATACTGGAATATTTTGGTAGACTGAAAGTCTAAAAAGGCTTTTGTGATATTCAGCCTTTTGTAAACAGCCACACATCAGCTGTTTATCTTCAGTTTACTTTATTAATAAGTCTAAATCCACTTGTATGAGTTTATAAATGTTATCTATATTAACTTTATCATGCTATCCATTTATTGAAGATCCAAATAATTACGGAGATGGGGGAGGGGAGGGAAAATAGACAAAATCTCTGAATTTGCCAGATTAAAATGTTATATTTACGAGTACATTTAATATTTTCTGGTGTTATAAATCAAAATTGTGTGGGATGAAAATAAGGGATTAGTTAAAGGGGATAGACGTTACAAAATCCTGATTATTTTTTCCATTTTTAAGGAGAATTTACAATTTTTTTCCTGCAAATGTATAATTTTATAATCTCAGATTTGATCCGATAATTTTTCTCCTAATTTTACCATTTTATTCTGGGTATTTAAGAGTGAGGTTTTTTTTAAACTACCAAATAATGTGTATTTTTGTGGGAGGGGTTTTGTTTTCTAAGTTTCCCAATTAACACAAGCACCCTTGAATTAATTGACACAGCTGATGTTGAATTTCGAGGTAAACTTAAGACTGACTAGTTCGTACAAAGTGCTTCTCGTCCACTTTAGGAAAAATGCGTCAAATTGTACGTAGAAGTTTTACCATGCCATTGTTCCAAAAGTCCAAATGTTTTACTGTGATATTCTGACCCTTAACCTAAAGAATATAAACTTTAATGCGTAATTACAACCAAGTTATCAGTAATGACCAATTAGGGCTGGTTAGGGTTAGGGCTTTTGCAAAATAAGGAATCAGAAATTGTGAAATTCGATGTTCTAAATAATGACTCCTGTGTTTGCGTTCATCGCAGGGAAACTGAGTATTTTGAGCAATGGCCATTTTGGGAACAATGGTTTTTGGTGAGGTTTACGGGCTACTGGACAACTTTCAGATCATTTGGGATTTGAAATAATGGGGTTTTAGGAACAATTGTCGAAGTTCAAAGACTGCGAATTTGCTCACTTCTGTTAACTCGGCCAAATGCTGCTAAGGGAGGCAAACGTTTCAGATTGTTGGTTTGGAAACGTTCTGAAATTGTCCTGATCTTTAGCTGACGTTAGCTTACCAATAAAAACCACCACAACATGTTTCTAAATCCTCTTGAGAAGAGCTCGTGTGTTGCTGTTTACACTGAGTGAATATCACATTGACACCCATTCTGTACGTGTAGTATATATTATAAAGGACTATAGTCTACTGTACAAGTTTTCCACAGAATGAGACGTGGGCTGTCGCTTTCTCTGCATTGTAACGATGATAATCAGTGATGGGGAGGTCATGTGACCTCTTAACCTCTGACCTCAGGTCCCCGTACACTAAGACAAACATGAGGTCATTCATTTGTTGTCGGATTTCTCAGCCAATCAGAAGCCAGCAAACCTAAAATATCTCTTGCGGGTGTTCTTCCACTGGGAAAGTAGTCCCTATTTTATTTTAAAATTCTGCTTTTAAAATCAAATCAGGTGGTTCTTCTAAGATGTAAACATGGATTACTTATCAGGGAGAACTGTCTTCAGCTAAATGTGTGTTAGCTAATGCTAGCACCATTCCCAAAGGAGAGAGTTATGTGGCTAATTAGCAGTGATGCGAAGTACCCAGAGTGTGTTTAATTAACTCCACCAAGGCCGTTTCAGTTATTTCCAATCAGTGTTTCAGAATCAGATCCGCCGCTAAATGTATCTTTATATCTATGGGCCCCACGGATGGAGAAACCAGGAAAGATTCAGGGAAGATTGAAGAAAGATCTAGGGGATATGAAGGAAAGATAAATGGAAGATCCAGGATAGATCTGGGGAAGCTGCTAAAACAGACCGTTAGAAATACATTTTAGGGTATTTGGGGTATTTTGATAATGTAGTTACATACAGGGACACAACGACATGCTGACTGCAGTGGGACTTGAACTTGCTACCCCCTGATTCGAAGTCCAGCACTCTATCTACTGAGCCACAGCTGCCCCACTTCTCACGATGAAGTTCTACTACTTTTACTTACAATCAAAAGACTACTTCCATCGCTGCTAAATAGAAAGCATTTATAGCAGTAAATATCAGAGCAAATGCTGCTGATTGGCTGAGAATCCTGTCTTTTCTAACCTACATGTGACACCTTCCTCCTCCTAATGACACTCACCTGGTTATTATGGTTTATTGTTACCTTCCTCCTCTTCCTCTTCCTCTTCCTCATCCTCATCCTCTCTAGCTTCCTCTTTTTACAGGATGTTTGTAGTTTCTTCTGGAGTGAGTGGCGTGTGTGTACTTGTAGTTTTATTTTCTTCCCTTTTCTAAAAACTGAAGAGCACACACATGACAACCGATGAGCTCTGCAAAACGCAACAGATTGTAATCTTTATAATAAACGGTCATTTATTACAAAGTTAAAACACCCTGAGGACTTCCTGTGTGGTTCTTTCACAATAAGAGCGCTCACCTCTGACCTTGGGTGTTTCTCAATGTCGAGGAAACCGGCTCCAGAGCCACTATTTCAAGCATATTACGTCATCGAGTCCCGCCGAAGGACTGTTCCAATGTCCAGGATGCTTGGAATTCCACCGAGGCCGGCGTACTTCGTTGCGGGAAATGTCGAGGCTGCACATGTGTCCTCCGCGGTCTTAAAATCCCCACAATGCTTTGCGCACGGACCAATTTCCAAATCTTTGACTGAAATCGCGCTCCATTGAAGGCGGGGCCTCGCATATGACGCACACCTGTTAGCCTGTTCCACCATTCTTCGTTTTCCGAGGCTAGGAAGGATTCTTGCCTCGCTTCTGAAGGACCTGACTCGGAAGACATGTCCTACCAAGGAAGCGTCCTCGACATTGAGAAACACCCCTGGTCTAGACGCTGAAAGGTTGAAACCGGGTTAATAAATGACAAGCTTTGAGACAGTAAAAGCACTTGTTTTTTACTCTGTGTACTTTGAGACAATACATATTATACTGTGTCATTATTTTACAATCATAGAGAACATATGTAGTGATTTACAAGCTGCAACTTGTTTGTTTTCAGTCTTTTAAGGTGCAGCATGATTGTAATTTGCACAATAAAGATATTAAACCTCAGGCTCCTACAGCCGTTTTACGACATAAAAGGAAATACACTGTTTCAGTGTGTGTACTCTGTATCAATGCTCTGTAGTTGATCTGACTGGAATTGTGTTTTTAAAAACTCAAAACCGCTACAGCATCTGTCAGACAGAAACTTGGGAAAAGTCATTTGACTGAAACCTTAAAAGGGAACTAAATGACTAATAGGGTTAACTTTGATTTAAACATTTGTAGAATACTAAGAGCTTTATTGAGTAGGTGTAACTGTATTAAGGGTTAAACTCATAACTTTATAACTTAGTGTTTAATGTAATTGACTTAAAAGACAATAAGAAATCAGGACGAAGCCAGTCTCGATTGAGGTCCATCAGCTGTGATCTGAGGCCACTCCCCCAACAGAAACTGTATTTAAATCTCATCCTAAGCACTGACCTGCCATTGTGCAACTCGTTTTTGACAAGAAAGCTACTGGAGACTTCTAGAATTGTGTGAGTAACACTGTGTTTGTAGACTTCTCTGTTTCAGTGTGTGTACTCTGTATCAATGCTCTGTGGTTGATCTGACTGGAATTGTGTTTTTAAAAACTAAAAACCGCTACAGCATCTGTCAGACAGAAACTTGGGAAAAGTCATTTGACTGAAACCTTAAAAGGGAACTAACTGACTACTAGGGTTAACTTTGATTTAAACATTTGTAGAATACTAAGAGCTTTATTGAGTAGGTGTAAGGGTTAAACTCATAACTTTATAACTTAGGGTTTAATGTAATTGACTTAAAAGACAATAAGAAATCAGGAGGAAGCCAGTCTCGATTTCCTTTTGAGGGCCACCAGCTGCAGAGTTAACTAATTAAAAGGACGTTGCCCCACAGCTGTGAGAACTCAGCAATCAGGTGTCCATTTTAGGTAGCACTTTCCTGGAGCGTCAGCTTCAGCGTCAGACAGGATAAGACTGACAAAGACATTAGAGTCATGCGGGAGTCACGAGGGAGGCAAAGAGGAGGCAAATCCTACTTTGATTGAGCTAAGTATCGCTGGTGTTTTTTATGTTTCATTTTATTTGGTTATTTAGCCCCTCATGCTATAATCATGTGTATTTTCTCCATTCCTGTTCATGTGTCTTCTCGCAATTATCACTGGCCCCGTGTATCTCCTAATCTATATAACCGGCCTGCTCTCGTCTATCCCACATGCTCCACTGAGATCCAACATCTAGTTTCAGGTGGCCTGTGGAACTGCCAGTCAGCTGTTCCTAAGGCTGACTTCATCTCTGGCTACGCCTCCCTGCAGTCTCTGGATTTCCTTGCTCTCACTGAGATGTTGATTACTCCATCCAACACATCCACCCCAGCAGCTCTCTCCACAGCATATTCCTTCTCCCATACACCCAGACCCACTGGCAGAGGAGGTGGCACTGGTCTCCTGCTCTCTCCCAAATGGAGCTTTTCCCTCTTCAAGCTACCTAACTTCACTCCTTCCACCTTTGAGTTCCATGCCGTCACAGTAACCCATCCTATACAGTTAACCATTGTTGTTCTCTACCGTCCACCAGGCGCCTTGGGGGAATTAGATCATCTCCTCTCACACATCCCTGAAACTGGTCCTCCCGCTGTACTTCTCGGAGACTTCAACCTCCAGACAGGGAAGATAGACGAACTAACATATCTGTTAACCGCCTTTGCTTTCTCACTGTCTCCGTCCCCACCGACTCATAAAGCTGGCAATGTCCTTGGTCTCATATTCTCAAGGAACTGCGCTACTTCTAACCTCTCTGTAAACCCGCTCCACACATCCGATCACTTCTTCATTTCATTCTCTCTATCCCTTTCCAAACATAACAAACTAATCTCTTCCCATCCTACACTTGTCCGCCGTAACCTTCGCTCCCTCTCCCCCTCTACCTTTGCCTCGTCGGTGCTCTCAGCCCTCCCTTCCTCTGACTCGTTCCAACTCCTGCCTCCAAACTCTGCTGCAGAAACTCTCCTCTCTACTCTCTCATCCTCTCTGGACTCTCTCTGTCCTCTCACATCTCGGCAGGCTCGTCAGTCCCCTCCTGCTCCCTGGCTAAATGATGCACTGCGTGCTAATAGAACCGTCCTTAGGGCAGCAGAGCGGAAACGGTGGAAATCCAAACACCGTGATGACCTCCTAACCTATCAGGCTCTCCTCTCCTCTTTCTCTGCTTCGATCTCTCAGGCAAAAAGCACTTTCTTTCAAGATAAGATCCAATCTTCCTATTCCAATCCTAAAAAACTATTTTCCATCTTCTCCACCCTCTTGGACCCTCCAAAAGCCCCTCCCCCCTCCTCACCTCTGTCAAGCGACTTTGTTACCCACTTTGAAAAAAAGGTTGATGATATTCGCTCTTCTTTTTCTGACTCACCTTTACTCACCGCTGGGTCACCAGACCCTCCTTCCACCAACACACTTACCTCCTTTTCCCCTCTCTCTCCAAGTGAGGTTCTTACCCTCATTACCTCTGCCCGCCCTACCACCTGTCCTCTGGACCCTATCCCTTCAAACCTCCTTCAGACTATCGCTCCTGATATTCTACCGTTTCTCACCCATTTCATCAACACTTCTCTAACTTCTGGTCACTTTCCAAACAGTCTCAAGGAGGCAAGAGTAAACCCTCTCCTAAAGAAACCCACTCTCAACCCGTCTGATGTTATAAACTACAGGCCTGTCTCTCTCCTCCCGTTCCTGTCTAAATCACTTGAACGCGCTGTCTTTAGACAACTCTCCTGTTATCTCAATCAGAACAACCTTCTGGATCCGCACCAGTCTGGTTTCAAGGCAGGTCACTCCACAGAAACTGCTCTCATTGCTGTCACTGAGGAACTGCACACTGCTAAAGCAGCCTCCCTCTCATCTGTCATCATCCTGTTGGACCTGTCTGCTGCATTCGACACGGTGAATCATCAGATCCTCCTTCGCACTCTCCAAAAACTTGGAGTTTCAGGCTCTGCACTTTCCCTCCTCACCTCATATCTGAAAGACCGTACCTACAGGGTGACTTGGAGAGGGTCTGAGTCCGACCCTTGTCAATTAACTACAGGGGTCCCTCAGGGCTCTGTTCTTGGTCCCCTCCTCTTCTCCCTGTACACAAACTCGCTCGGATCAGTCATTAGCCCGCATGGTTTTTCTTACCACTGCTACGCTAACGACACCCAATTAATTCTGTCCTTTCCCCGCTCAGAGACCCAGGTCGTCGCACGCATCTCTGCTTGTCTAGCTGACATCTCTCAGTGGATGTCTGCTCATCCACCTCAAGCTCAACCTTGACAAGACTGAGCTGCTCTTCCTCCCGGGAAAAGATTGTCCCACTCTTGACCTAACAATCAACATCGGCACCTCAGTTGTTTCGCTGACTCAGACTGCAAGGAATCTGGGTGTGACCCTAGATAACAACCTGTCCTTCACTGCAAACATCGCTGCTACAACCCGTTGCTGCAGATACACGCTTTACAACATCAGGAAGATACGTCCCCAGCTGACTCAGAAAGCGACTCAGGTTCTGGTCCAGGCTCTCGTCATCTCACGCCTAGACTACTGCAACTCCCTCCTGGCTGGTCTACCTGCATGTGTCATCTGACCTCTGCAGCTCATCCATAATGCAGCGGCTCGTCTGGTCTTTCAACCTTCCTAAATGTCTCCCACACCACTCCGCTCCTCCGCTCCCTTCACTGGCTTCCGGTAACTGCTAGAATCCACTTCAAGACACTGGTACTTGCTTACCATGCTGCGAATGGATCTGGCCCTTCCTACATCCAGGACATGGTTAAACCGTACACCCCAGCGCGTGCACTCCGCTCTGCATCAGCCAAACGACTCGCTGCACCCTCGCTGCGAGGGGGACCCAAGTTCCCAACGGCGAAAACACGTGGGTTTGCTGTCCTGGCTCCAAGATGGTGGAATGAGCTCCCCATTGACATCAGGACGGCAGATAGCTTGCACATCTTCCGGCGCAGACTGAAAACTCATCTCTTTCGATTCCACTTCGAGCGATAGCACTTTTATACTAATAAAGGACTGGCTTATCTAAAGCCAGTTGAGTAGCACTTGAAATGTTTTTGCTCTATGAAGCCTGATGTACTTATATGATTCTGTTTTCTTCAAGTTGTATTTTGTTGGACGAACGCACTTATTGTAAGTCGCTTTGGATAAAAGCGTCAGCTAAATGCAATGTGATGTAATGTAATAATATCGCAAAAGACATAAAAGTGCAAGTAAAATGCAGAAATAAGAAAAAATACATATATATTAATAGACAACAATGTAAAATGAAATACTGTATACAGTCGTTATGCAAAGGCAGTGTGTCACTCGTTTATGATTTTTCCACCTTTTCCGGCTCACGGAGATAAGGGTCGCTGGTTCAAGGTCCAGCTTTATTATCATTATATAATACAGGATTGCACAAGGAAACGCACCCTCCACTACACACAGAAATAATATATAAATACACACAAACATTTAGAATTAAAATAGCATTTATTAGTATATACATAAAGTGAAAACGCGCCCCTAAAATGCAACAGGGCTTAAGGGATATACAAGCATCTGTTATACTATCAAATTCATGATATAATTGTGTCCTATACTCCAATTTAAGTTCTCTGAAAGGAAAGTAAATCAACATAATTTAGTTACTTAAAGATTAAACAAAATGGCGTTCTACCCCATTTCATTTAAGCATATTTCTTTTGAATAATATATATTGTTATTTGTATATATTAATCATATATATTTTGATATTTGAGGGTTATCTTTTGTTCGCAGATTTTATGTTTTATTAAAAACAAATATTTTATTTTAATTGTATTTTAATTTGCTTTCTTCCCTTTAATTAATTTTGTATTTGTATATGTATTTAATTAAAACGAATCCACAAAAACTGAAACAGGTCATGACTTCAGAGATTTAATTCATCTTAAAGGGAAACGTTGTTATTCGCAGTGACAGGACTCAATTTACTGCCCTGTGGCGTTGTGGACACTGAGTAAACCAGAGCTGCCTCCTGATTGGCTGCCCTCCTCCTCCCTGCTCTCCTATTGGCCGACGGACTCTTGACCTGTGACTGTTTCATTGTGAGAAAACTCAGTCTGAATCTACTGTGAACAGGTACGCTGCTGTGTGTGTGTGTGTGTGTGTGTGTGTGTGTGTGTGTGTGTGTGTGTGTGTGTGTGTGTGTGTGTGTGTGTGTGTGTGTGTGTGTGTGTGTGTGTGTGTGTGTGTGTGTGTGTGTGTGTGTGTGTGTGTGTGTGTGTGTGTGTGTGTGTGTGTGTGTGTGTGTGTGTGTGTGTGTGTGTGTGTGTGTGTGTGTGTGTGTGTGTGTGTGTGTGTGTGTGTGTGTGTGTGTGTGTGTGTGTGTGTGTGTGTGTGTGTGTGTGTGTGGTGTGTGTGTGTGTGTGTGTGTGTGTGTGTGTGTGTGTGTGTGTGTGTGTGTGTGTGTGTGTGTGCTGTGTGTGTGTGTGTGTGTGTGTGTGTGTGTGTGTGTGTGTGTGTGTGTGTGTGTTTTTCCCGCCCACTCTCCTTTTCTCTTTCTTCCCGTGCAGCCGCTTTTCTGCTTGCTCCTGCCTCTGCTTACTTTTTATGCTGATTTTCCTATTCTTATTCTCTGAAAACTTCGAGCAGCGGCTCCTGGACATTAACTTATCACTGGGACAGTTCATCTTCGTAAATAGACGGATTTCAAAAAAAATTACGAGGACCTCAGTCTTACAGTAGCGTGGCCTAGCAACAGCTAAAGCCTGGTAGGCTACTGCATGCTATTTAACTTAAGCTAGTTGGTAGCAAAATGCCTCCGTTCTCTACAGATGACTTCCACAAACTTATACAGAAGATGGCTGTGTTGGAAATGAAAATGCAACAGTTGGAAGTGTTTAGAGTCGGCGAGGTCCTGATAATTTATTCCGGTAAATTACTCTGACCTACTAATTGACCTGACCGAAGTTATTGAGTCTATGTAAGTTTACTGCTTGGCTCAGATCCACCAACGTCAGCAAGATCTCACCTCTTCCTAACCCCTCCGAAGAACCAGGTTCAATTAACTGCTGTTTCAATTCAGACAACTCTTTTTTAATCTGTTCAAGGGATCCCGAAGGATTTTGATATCAGTAAATGGAGTGTGCTCCTACCTAAGTGTGAGTGTGGCAGGGTGCAGTCTTACCTTTTAAGCAGGAGAGGAGAGCACAGGTGTCCTTTAAGTTTAAGAAAAATAGGTCCAAACTAATACAGGGTTTTTACCTTCTCTCTTTACAACATTATAATCATACTAAAAAAAATGGTGCTGTGATCATGTTCAAATATGAAACTTTAATTCACAGTCTTACATTTATTACCAAAATGTATAATTTCAACTGCCCAATTCAGTTGTGATATTTAAAAATTCTCCCGATAGAATTTAGAGGCATTTCCTCATAAAAAGACCGGTGACAATAAAAAGCGCATTCAACTTTTCATTCACCAAATCAATTCACATCAGTTTCATACCTTTTTTCCGACACAGACGGCGGGTATAACTTTCAAAAACACACACCTATCTCCCGCAGGTATTTCGGAGGAAGATCCTCACGGTGGCGGTTACTAATCACAAACACATCTCCCATCAAATCATTCCACTCAGCATTTCAACCAACAAATTCAAGAGATATTTACCAAGTGTGAGAGGACCTTACCGAGAGCTATTAACCCAGCTCTGAAGGACAAAGCCTACCGGGAGAGAGTATACCAGGGGAAACCCGCCTCTCTCTCGCGCTCTCTCAAAAAACCAGTCTCTTTATGCTCAAAAAACCGGATCGAAACCCCAAAAAACAAACACCTCCTCTATTCCCAACCAACATCTTCTATTGGCTATGGCCTAAGACACACCTTCCCATGTTTGTGTAGAAAACAGGACATGAACAGACATATTCTATGGCTATCATAACCACCTTTTTGAGGTCTCAATGTATTTCTCCTTCAGTCAGGAGCCCCCCTCCCTGTGAACTGCTGTCAGAGGAGAGGGAGAAAACGGCCTACTCTCTTATCAGAGACACCCATAACTCTTATAGGCCTTACACTCAACTTAACAAACCACTTGGTTTTGTTTATACTGTAACTATAGAAAAACCTAAAATATGAAGCATTTTCATTGTGGGTTATACAAGAATATAATTGATTATATTTGATTATAACTAACTTTCGTTTTAAGTATTAAACATACTATGAAAACTCTCAACACCCTCTTTTCAAAACGCAAAGTTATCAAATAGCAACAGATACAATTGTAAGCTTACATACATATTCAAAAACCATCAAGAAGTATTCTCATTATGGGTTTATACAAGAATATGATTGATCATGTATGATTTATAATTAACTTTCGTTTTAAGTATTCACTTCATATGGAGATCTCAACAGAAGTTAACGTGGAAGTGAATGGACTATGTCGTGGGAATGACACCACTTTACCAGTGTTGCAAAATAATGGAAAAGGGTATGTTAACTCACAGCTAGTTAGTGTTATGGAAATCTTAGACCTAGTCAATACTGTGGAGATACACAAGTCAGAAATATCAAACAATAAATGGTGAAACAGACAGAGTTGTCTTTCGGGTTATTTATTTGAGGCCTCAAAGACACAGGTCTCACAGAACACAAGGTATCCTGAGAGAGTGCGCGCAGAGTGAAAGATGCATACAGGTTATATAGGATTTTGTCAGTTCAACAACATTCCGTCACTCATTAGGAGGGGCCCTGGCAGGAGAGATAAGCTTTCCAAAGGAACTGAAACTGTCAATCCTCCAGGCCCCTAGATTGAACCAGGGGCCTGTTCAGCAAGAGGGAAGTGAGGAAACTTGTCAGCAGCAGATGGAGGGCTAAGAAATGTGGAACTTGATCATAAGACAGGGAAACTAACAGGAACTTGCCCATTGCCCTGCGCTTGGTACCCAGCCCCCTCATCAAGTTCAGACCTTAGATGACCTTAAATGTCACTTTCCAGGGAGGCAAAGGACATGAACTAAAACACATCACCCAGACCTTACTTTGACATTTTTAAAGATCATGAGTGTCCATACATCCTTACAAACACTGTTGCAAAATGCTGACAGAGGTTATAAGCTGAAATACATTATTATAGGAACTGCTGAAAGTGCTAACAGAGGTTACAAGCAAAACACATCATTCTAGGAACTGCAGTTGATGTGTCCATGTAAGGTAAAATATAAAGTCTGCACTATAAGAAAACTTTAAACTACATATATGTAAAGTTTGCCATTACATTAGCAGCTACAAGGATTCCAAGGAACAGGAGGGCTGTGTACTGGGTAATAAATCTACAAGTGGTAGTCCTCCCTGGAACTCTCTGGGTGCAAAGCCTAAGAGTAAATCATTTCCATGGGATTTGGGAGGACGGATAACAGGCAGAGCACAGAGCTCTGAAATCTGTGATGCGACCGGCTGGCCTGCATTGTTATCACCCAGGAAGAGCGCCTCTTCAACCCCTCTTCATACTAGGAAACAGCCGTGGACAGCTGCTGAAGGGAGAACTACAAACAATCCTCCTAAACCACCAAGTGTGCCAATCCAGAACAGATACGCTCCGCTGACCGAGAACCGGAGATCTCATTCTGATGACCTGGATAACCTGTCCTCTTCACGCAGCAGGGTAAGGACCAATAGCTACTCCAAAAGTAAAAGGCTAGAGCAGGGGTCTTCAACTCAAATTCAACGAGGTCCAGTTAGAGAAAATCTCCCCATGCAAAGGTCCGGAACATCAAAATGTCTAACTTGCTTCATGAATTAGTGTGATATATATTGAAGTGACCTGTAGCTTTATCAACGTCTGCATGTAATCAACAACTGACTGCCAATCAAATAAAGAAAGTACAATTCAAAAACAACAATATTTATTGTCAATTAACATTACTTAAATACTGTGGATATGTGTAATGTTCCTCTCGGGCTGCATTTACAAATAAAATAGAGAAAATAAATAAAATAGCTTTTGAAAATATGTGCATCTTAAAAGTGCTTAATTTTAGATAAATAAAATAAAGTGTAGCAGCAGCTTGAGTGTCCCTTTTTCTTTGTTAACCATTTAACATCATGACTTAACAGTTTCAGCCGATTATAGAACAATATCAGTCTTTACCCATCATAACAACTGAACAGTTTTAAAGTTTCTCTTTCTTTCCCTCTTATATTGCAGACCATCACTCACTTTGTTTAAATTCAGTGTGAGAATTGAGCTCAAGCTTGTCCTGCCAGGAGTTTGTAAATCTGGGCTGACATGGAGTCAGGGCCATTCTCACACACATGCAGGTGCTCATTGGTTTCAGGGATGCAAACACAGGTATGGTGAAAAAAGAGAGAACTATTCGAAGCAGAAGAAAACAGTCGTAATATACCATCTGACAAAGGCCTGTGCTATAACGCTTCAATTAACTGCTATTCTTTATAATATACTCAGATCAATAGGAGACAGAGATGTTAAGTTATAAATCAAGGGTTTTTATTATTATTTACAGCAGGGGTGGGGAACCTTTTTCCTTTCAATTTTTACAACATCCTCCGAGGGTCGTACAAATTATTGAACTCAACCTTTGCTTAAAAAAACTAAAATCACAGCCCATTCATTTGGCCTTTCTTTCATGCTGTGCAAAGAAAAAGCAACCTCTTAATCCAGATATCTCACCATGACTCACGTATGCATGTGCACGGTGTGGCATGACCACCAAAACAGAAAGATATGGACACAAGATGTGTGCAAATGTATTTAGTATCCTATCCATGTGAACATTATTTAAGTGGGGGGGGGGGGGACCTGACCTCCTCTAGGGGCATGCTCCCCCGGGAAGATTTTTTTTTAAATATTGAAGTTAAAAGCATCAATCTAGTGCACTTTGAGAGCAACATTAAGAGATCTATGGATACATCTCTCAACACCCATATGAAACAGAACTGTAAGCATATTTTTCTTTTTGGATATTTTACAAATCACTCTCCTTTCAAACTCTATTCTTGTTATTTTTAACAACTATTTTGTTACTGTCATATAGTATTTTATACCTGTATTTCATTTAGTCTCATTAATAACTATAATGATCATATCAAGTTGTGCCTTAACCTCACTGAGC